GATGACTTCATCGACCTCTGAACCCCCATGTTATTCACGATAATACATGACACGCGTCATATTCTCAAAAGCCCGTCTTTTGAATCTTCGGTTATTTTGAGAAAATTGTTGTTTTTGTCACGATAATATAATGATATTTGCAAAAGACAATACTGATTTTTTTCTTTGATTGCTCTGCGTTTTTGTTGATCCGTGTGCTTCAAGCACCTGATGATGTTGCTCAACGGAGCAAGCTGAATACTAACTATTCAGTTGCCTGTCGGTGTCCGCTGCTTGATGATACCTGGATGAGTGGCGGACCCTTATTGCTGATGAAGATGTTTGTGATTAGAGTTGAGAAAGAGTACGTGACGATTTTGGACAACAAAAAGTTTTCGCGTAATTACGAGCCTTGTAGCGACGAATATCGACCAATTGAGGCATGGTCTCTCGGTCTCCATAAAAAACGACTGGAATGCATACACGCATGCCGAGTTCAATACGATTAATTTATCATGGCGACAGTAGCCACTGCTAATTGCCAACAGATACTTTATAAGTTACAGAGTTAGAGGACAAGCATGCCACGACCTGGCCGATATTTCACTTGTGCATTCTGACTTAATACAAATAGAGCGGCTAGTATGTTGAAAACGTCTTTACGTCATCCGAGATTATTTGCGAGAATGAAAGAAACTTCTGCCATTCGTTCTTTAAAGTTCCTTGTACCACATGGAGCTACAAATTGTATTTTTTCACGACATCTATATGCATTGAACAATCGAGTGATATATTTAGTATGCACGAACGTACGTTAAACCAATTATTAGTATGCACAACGTAATTATGATATAGACAATTCTTAACGCGTCTCTGTGTAATGATCCGATGTCAATTTAGGGAGTCGGAGGACGACGCTACCTTCTATAATTGGTTGAGTACTCACAAGAGTCGTTGTTATTTTCATAACCAGCGGAGTTTGCCCACTGTGGCCGTGTTAGGGCCGGATAAGATCAGTCGCTGTTGGCACAGACGAGTTTCTGTAGACCAATTAACATGTATCACAACACAACTGTGAGTTGCTTCCTTCAGTTTGCTCTCTGTAAGCAGTGAAATAAAACCATATTGGCAGCTGAGAGTAAAGGCACAAAGCAAATACTTATATTAAAATGTTGTCTTGTGATATTGTTCAAAAAATAGTTGTTTCAAATGCACGTATCAGGGCGCAGAACACATTTTTGTGTCTTAAAACTGCTATTATTTTTTATGTTCGTAACGGAGACCTAAGCGTTGTCTCTGCCTCTGGTAGAAGATGACATTGTATTCCTCTGCGTTTCATATGGACTGCAAGATCAATGATGTACTCCAACACTTCGACCAACGTGACGATGGATATGCCAATCCATAATCCGAGCGATCCGCCAATGTCTGCCCAAAGATTGGCTGACTGCAAGTATATAAACAAAACGTAACGTTGGAAAAGTAGCACTAATATGATAATATTTGCTTTGTGTACGTTATGCACTTACAGGGAAAAAATTCATTGAGCATCATCACCGGAAAACGGAAACATGTGCGATTGACGAGTTGTTCACTGAAGAGTCGTTGTGGATTAGCCCTAACTCTAACTAACATATTATCTCGTTTTTTTAAAGCATACACCAATTGAGTATCAGCAATTTTGATTTTTACATATTACTAGTAATATGAAAATAGACAAAACGTGTTTGTATGTTGATCTCGAGTTTCACTTGTCGATAACACACTGCACACTAGGTTTCATTGAACCAAAGACATTAGAAAGAGAACTTTGGAAACACGTCAACATTTAATGTGTAATTGTACCGGAAATCAAGTCACATGCGCCTCGTTCTGCCATCAGAGGAGTTTGTAAATCAATAACATGTTTGTGTGGCATAATTCCGTACAGAATTAAATTTATTTAAACTGAATCATAGTTGTAACTGCATTTCACGCTTCGACGCTTTTGAAACAAGTCACTGTGAGCACCGTCCCTCAATGAGGGACGGTGCTGTGAGTGATGTAGTCCCCGTCCAGCTTTTAATGAAAGTCAACATTAGTGTAGTAAACAAATAAGTGTGAATTGATATAATGTGCACGAGGAACGAACTGAGATGCCTCCAGATCCACAAAGTTCTAATCTAACCAGTTATTGGGTATCTGAAAATGAGTTAAATATACGACCTGATGTTAAACATGATTACTACCAGTATACAATTTTTGTATTTGATGTCAAAAATATATGTGTCCAATACGATGTCTGTTTGAAATTTGCACTTGATCGGCCTAGGTATGTAAGATATGTGCATCCGGATCTGCATTGAGAAAAAAACAAAACTTCGAACTTCGAACTCGCTCCGAAAAATAAAATGACGTACATCAAGGGCACATTTAGTTCAAAGTACCAAGTTTAAACCCAAATGAGGATGTAGATTGTTTGTTTACTTTTATAATTCAATATTGGTCGAAAATGACCAAAATTAAACCAGCCAGGTCAACTATAGAAATTACAGTATTGGAAAAGTTGACTCAGCTGAATAAAGAGGAACATTCGGATATCCTCTTCAATCGAGGTGAGTTAAGCACGCCTTTCACATTTGGTTTTTCATTAATTACTTATTTTCTTTAACAATACGTGTACCTAAGTGATATCGCGCCGTGATACAAAATGCAGTGCATTACATACAACGTAAAGCGGTAATGTTTTTCTACGATAATCTTTCGCACCGGCAAACACCAACTATCCTAGCACGTGTTTTAAGAATTTAATTAGATGTGGAAAATTAGATGCTGAAAAATGAGTATAAAAACAATTTATGAGTTTTAAATCATTTTTAGCGCCAATATGTATTATTACAAGTGTAACATTGACACGAATCAGACTTGGAAACTTGGCATGTTGTGTTTATAAAGCAGATTTGAAAAAAATATTCAAAATAAATAGTGATACTCGGCCAAATAGAATAGTCAATTACAGGACTTTATATAGACCAAATCTCCTGTTTTCCAGTCCGGTTATATGACGTGCTTAGTACGAAATTCAGTATACGCACAACTAGGATCAGGTCAAATTTCATTGTTTTCATAAATTGTACCGCGAATTTTGCATAGAACTCGTGACACCACAGATGTAACCTTGGCCAAATCTTGCTGTGCCAAGGGGTTCGAATCCTGGATAACGCAGCTGGCGGTGTGATAGACACGCTGCTCATTGAGCTACATAAAACATGATGCAGGTCATTGCCTTGTGAGCTTATACTAGTATATGACGTTTCGAGTATGATCATGACTATGAATGAGTGGGAACTATTTATGAGAACATTGCCTACACAAATCGTGAGGTCAACGATCATTTACACGTGTACTGCATTCACGTTTTGTATAATAAATATTCTAGAATTTTTTTCAGTATATTCAATTTGGAAATAGAGGCATTACATTCCTTACCAAGTACGAATTTCACGCATTTATTTATATATATATATATATATATATATATATATATATATATATATATATATATATATATATATATATATAGGTCAGATTGAACCCACATTCCCAAATCATTCTGAATATAAAGTCTCCCAATCCACGATATGATGTTTTTGTCTACGGTCTCGACGTCTTATCTCAGATCGGACTTTATAACCCAGAACAATTCTATATGTACATTGAAATAACAACTCATCTAACGCGATGTGACCACCACGCATTATATGTGAAGAAGTGAGAGAATTAGAGCTATATAGTTTACTAACGAATTGGGCCCAGCAAAATGATACTCGTGTTAATAGTCATGTGTTCGTTCGTAGCCTCATATATAGCAAGCCATTTTTTATGCTTTTGTTGACACTATTCACCAAAACAAAATACCAAATTCTCATTACATTATTTCGTCTTGTTCCGTTTAAAAACAAATCAACGTGTTGTTCGTACGACTGGCCGCAGCGCGACGCGGAGCGCAGTAGTCATTCTAAACAATGTGGATTGCCCGAGATCCTCGTCATGTCATTTTAGCATAACAACTCAATTTGCAATTCAGAGCTCCAAATTGACTGCCATCATTCGCATATGATGATTTCTAATTTCATGACGACAATGAACTCAGTTGTTAACATATGGGGTTCAGATAAGATTATGAGTCTGAATGCTGTGTACGTCGTTTACCTCACATCACTGCTCCATTCCTAGTAAGCGTTCCCTCGTTAACATTATTATATACTTTATATGCTTCGTGCGCAGCTGCACATTATATAATTTCACAAAAATCTTCAATGTAGCATTGGATATTTTTTAGTGCATTTACCTCGATATTAAAGTGAAATAAATTATTTGAAACAAAACACTTGAGTATGCATATACGCCCGATTTCACTGCTGAACGCAAAGCGTCGCATTAATATTATATGATCTCTTTTATTCTTCGTCGTTATTAAAAAATAAAAATAAATACTGTTAATATTATGTATTTAATTATTAACGAAACTTCACGATTATTCATTGTACACTAATGTGTGCACCTGTTTACTCACTATACATATATAGATACCATCAATTTAATAAAAAAAAATACAATTTGTTTTTAAACGTCTTATTGTTGACAGGTCTTCTGAACGCTGTCGCACGTTTCTCTATGTTTGTTCTCGCCCCATTGCACGATGTATATTTATGCTCTCATGCACCGACGGGTCAAACATTTGTGTCAGATGCAGACATCGAAGCATTATAGACTGTAGATTGGCGAGTACTAATCATGGCTGGACGGTCATTTAATTGCACACAGAGTAGACGTCACACTAGGGCCTACACATTTGCCCAGATAAGCGTACGAGGGAAGTTCGAAAAAACACAACTACGTCGCTATACATAAGTCGACATTATAAATTCCAATTCCGCTCGATATTCGCTACATAGTGTATAAGCGTTCGACTTCTTCCTTTATATCGTAGACACATCAAATGAGAACAATTTAACATATTACGCGAAATATACAACATCAGATTAACGAGTATATATGGCAATGTACGTCACTAATAAAACTGGTTACCATGCATAGTGTTCGAGGCGATATGACACATTAACAACTTGCACGTTTTGATAGACTCTTGATAAAATGCGACACAAATTGAGATAGGGATGCGAACCACATACACTTACCAGATAAACCGCGACTTCACGGTGCACTATATAATTTAATTCTTCGAAATATATCTCAACCCTGGCAAGATTATTTCTGAAAGACAATTATAATAAGCATGACGTTAATATCATATGGCAAGGTGATGTGCGGCTTGTTCACCAGTATCAAAATAAAATATCCTCGAGGATTATTATATGATTAACAGACTATATATATAAATAACAGCATTACAACTATCGTGTATATACTATTTTACTTTTCTTCAATGTCGCTTGAGTGGACAGTGTTAATCAGTAGACAAGCAATGTTAAAACCATGAGATTGATCAGTCCTGCAGTAATTTGTTGCAGTAATTAAATAGTCAAGTCATGATGTCATTGGCCGTAATGATTCTCACTGAAGACTTCAGGGAAGCAGGATAGAAGGTTTCGCCTTTAAACCGTGTTTAATGTGTGGGCGTGTGTACGCTTTTTGTAGATGTTGATAAAACATGAATTATTGAACAACTACCCACCTAACTGCTGAGGCATCATGTAATCCGCTTTTTGCAACCGTTTGCATGAAATAAGGCTGTGAGAGGAATGTTTTATTAGTTGAAGTTATGCATTTCTTGCAATCTTTCACTTTCACAAAAAAAAACACAACGACGTTTAGATAAATTGGATACACATACGTAAGACAGTATTGTAAAGCATTATATAGTTAAATAGATCGTTAAATGTTAATAATGCACCATTTATAGCTTCGCTCCTTGTAAAAAATGACAGTGTTGTATAACTCACCATATATCTATCAGATGGCCATGTTTTTTGTGAAACCGTTGTTGAATATTGCACTTCTCTGCAAAAAATATAGAATAGTAATAACAATAATATTACGATTTACCATGTTTTCCTACCAAACCTAAAAGTAATTATGAGTGAGTAAAGAAATCAATGCATGTACATATACTATGCTACATATTAACTAGTTTGTCACACACGTGCTATTCAGTGCGATGTAGTTTAATTGAATATAGAAATGAATGTAACGAAATAAAGTTGTTCAGTTTCATTAAAGCGCTCAGTCACGTTTTCAATGTCGTGTGAACAAACATGAGACGCGTATCAAACAGAACGCGGCGCGGCGACAGTGGCGCTCTAATACTATTTTCTAACGTTTTATGACACTTTTAAAATGAAAGTTAAAAACAATCCTATACATATACCAAAACATTTTTTTAGAAAATTATCCAGAATTCAGCAGTAATATACATTTGCTCAATTGTACTGTAATCGTGATTTGCATAGAACTGATAATGAAATAGTTCAAAACATATTTTTTTAAATATGTTTATGTTAGGCGACAGTTCGAGACATCGAAGTCACTGTTGTTTTTCCTGACTTTTTTAATGTGTAATTTACAAGTGCGAATGATGACGTATATGTAATGTATGCTACCACACAGATCTGTTCTAGTGTAGGATTGCGTGACAGGGTTGTGTGGCCAACGATAACCAGCACCTGCGGACCTCTACCAAGATTTTGTCGAGTGGATTTAGCATTCTAACTGGGTCTGGGTAGCGGTCTCGTGAACTCTGGTCCACCGATCGTAAGTCCGATGCTACTATGCAACCATTGACCGGTTTAAGAAAACATATTTTTCATTTAATGTCTTTCCAACAGAATCAAATGATTTGAAAGCCTCTAGTACCGTTGATGATCAGTCCATGATTGTAAGTGACCTGACTTTTACGTGTTGTCATGGTTATGTGTTTGGGAATTCAGCAATTAGATAATGGCCGCTAGTGAGTGAATTATTTTCAGTGTATTGCTGAGTATGTGTTCAAAACACAGCTATTATACGTCTTACCGTGTCTGCACCAATCTTGTTTCTCTAATAGTCCGCGAAGATGAGAATCAAATGTAATTTGTTACGTACTATAATAGCATGATTTGAGTAGATGCAAATCCAAAAAAAAAAACCTCATCACCCTTTCTTTAGGCACAAATATAATTGGATTTAGGAACATGTTTGTTCAGTGTGTACGTATACGGTGCACTCGATCAATCTATTTATGTCTTAGAATAGAAAACAGGAGGACGAACAAATAACATGTGTGTAACATATGTGCGAGTGTATGAACAAACCCGAGGTTATATAGATATACGGTTAAAAATATCATAAAATGTTTATGAAAATACGATCTCATTATAGGTACAAGAACTTATTTATGATGTGAATATATGTCTATTAGTTCACTACTCACGATGCCCATTGGGGATAAATATATTGTCAATAAATTATAAATTGTAACCCGCAACAGGGATGAGGCAGTTAGGAGTAATAATTAGCCTGATGTAGAAATTATATTTCTACGACATTGTGACATATTTGTTTTATTAGCGACACTAAACTGTGAGTCCTATAATCGTATGATACATGGTATTAAAAAAATGTGTGTTAGTACGTGAGTGCAAATTCAAATCAGCTATGTTAATGATGATGATGATAACGATGATGATACTGTTTGTTATAGCAATTGATCTTATTCACATGTATAACAACAGTCGATGTTGTTGGTTTTTGCCAAAAAGACTTCATTCTTGCTGTCTTATGCACAAAACAAAATACTATTACTGTTATGATATTAAATAGGTGTGCATATGCTGGGCTATTTAAATTAAACGTCTTAAATCACATAACCACCATATTTATGTCTGGGTTGCCATATACAATATTTCATCGGTAATAAACCATCCAACAGCATGTATCAATGGCAATGTCAAAATCAATAGGTATAAAAACCTGTATGGAGTATTCTGCACACAGACGAATGATTATCAGCATGCATTATTCATTATAGAAACCAAATGCACTATGTGAATAAATGCAAATGATGTTATACTTCGTTTAGTGTGTTACACTAAAATTACAGTTTTCTCTTGTTGTTTTTACTTCATACACATAATAATTTGCAAAAGCTGGGATGTTATTGAAAATTGTCTACAAGGTTGATTCTATCGACAAGGGTGTCATGAAAAAACTCGTTTGTTATACTGACAAATGCGAATACAGGCAATTTCACTAAACATGATATGTCAAACACATTTAAATGTTCGCCTGCCTAAGTTTGGCAAAATCGAATTTACAATCGAATGAATTAACTATCATTATGCTGAGCTAATCGCATATTAAAGGGTCCCTATTAATGAATAAACTTTCTGAATATGTTTCATACTTGTTCGTATATATTACTTGGTGCTGACCTATTCGAGAAACATACAAGTATCACATGACCAAGCTAATATGTTATATGCATTCAGTTCGCGACTTTCAGTACGAAAGATTCTTTCTGTTATGGATAGAATAAACGTCACCATGTTTACATTAAATGTCTTCACATTAGGTTAAATATGCGCAGATGAAGAAGTGAAGCAAAGGATGAGACGAAATAAATGTTAATAACAAGTGTGCGAATATGTTGTTTTGATACACTGCACCTAGAAATGCATAGGCCTCAGATGTGTTTATTTCATAAATACGTGTTTCTTAGTATGATAATATCGTAGAACACTTATTTCACAGACGTGTTTAATTATGCATCGCGTTATTGACATTATTGCAAATTGTCCTATGAGTAATTCGTAGAGATTTCGAGTGATAACAGAAAGGTAAATTTTCTTGCACGAGCGTAAATGTCAAAAGGTTAAATATTAAACATACGAGATCATATGATGTATTGACCTTCATAAAATATGCAAACCGCAAGGCTCTTAAACAAACGAAGAAATTATCTGAAAAAAATCTTACATTCTAAATGGATTGAATACTACTTTCTAAAATCGAATAACTTGATGTCTAATGTTTATCGTATACTATTTCATTATAGTCGGCATTACAAACATTTCACAACTCGGCTTACCTGCAAGTAGGCCGGCAATTACAGGGCAGCAGTTCGTGCCGACTAAGGAAATAAACAAACTCTCGGCACATTTCTGGAAAATAAAAGCTGTATTATATTCATATCGAGCTACAGATGCAGAAAATCCTATTGCGAAAGTTTAATTACATTTGAATAATAGATTTTCCTTTGTATAACGAGATTTCGGCAGGCATATTATCTGTCAAGGCCGGATTAGAATTGTAATTTCCGATCTTAATCCTGTGATTACATGCTTCTTACGTACTAATTATCAAACACGTAGTGTATTCACCTTGTGTAGCGTTGACTACGAATCCCATGCAAACGGGGAGTTCAGATACCATATCGACACATCCACAGCGTGCGTATAGATACTTTTCGATGCACTCCTTTTGACAAGCCTAGTTCAAAGAGTAAAATACGGTGTCATAAGCTTCCATTATGAAGATACACTAGTAAAACTAGGGAACTAGGGTAATATGTCATCTATACAAGAAAAACAAATTCAGCTGACTGATGGACGTTGATTTATTGCTGATTTGATTCACATTATAGAATTTTACCTCCATTTGTACTAAATCATCGAACATTTCTGTTGTAAATTACAGATATAAATAACCAAGAAAGAACAACTTTGATCAAAATAGGAATATATCATCTGCTATACTGAAATAAGAAAGTAGAAGACTACATAAATTGTCCTACCAGCATCGTGTAACTGTATTCATCGAATTGACTTAATTGATCCGCAAAGGTACAGTTACTATACGGTGGTCCCATCCGTTCCTGTGTTGTCTGTGATAAATAAGAATAAAATTAAGTTGAATAAATGAATAAATAAATAAATAAATAAATAAATAAATAAATAAATAAATAAATAAATAAATAAATAAATAAATAAATAAATAAATAAATAAATAAATTAATTAATTAATTAATTAATTAATCAATAAATAAATAAATAAATAAGAGACTCATGTACTCATGTTGTTCTTAACTTCAACTTGTTATATTAAATGTATCTCTTCATATAAATGCGTTCATTAAAAGCATACAATATATAACCTGTCCAAGTACAAGATGGCCTAATATATGACGTCATACATGTCGTTTATGTTCATAATACACATTGGTTGGCAGTGACTTACCAGTTTTATTGCTAACGTTGTGGATGTACCAGGCTGTATATCAATACCTTTCTCTTCTGGGAACGGCATGGAGTTTTGTGAATGGATAACGACACGAAAGCTAGCACCTTGACTAACTGGTCCAATATATTCATTCTGTTCCGCATTAAGAGTCAGCTTCAATCCTGGAAAAGATTACATATCACATGTCAGTTTTGAAATCTAAATGTTTGCTCATACAATATTGGGAAAGTAATTGCATATGCAATTATATGCGCTTTATATTCATCATCATATGGGAGAAAAGGAAAGTACTTTTTTTTTGCTATGCAGTCATGAGGCTTAAGGTTAATCAGTGTGTTCCCTCTGAATACGCCAAGTTAGTTGATGTAATACTTGCTGTAAACATTTGGCAATCTGAGCAAATTGCATCACGAAGGGTAAAATTGTCTTCTAATGCCGATGTAAGCTGTTCACACCGCAGTGACGACGCCATACTAGCGCCCGTTGGAAATTTTACCTAAATTGCAATATAATTAGCAGACATCGCTCAATGAACCGGTGACCCGAATCAGTAGTCATATATAATGTTGCTGGTGTATACTGACTTTTTGCTAACAGACGTGACAAGAATAACGTGTGTGTAGAAATACAATTGCTAGTGCAAACATAGTTGTAATGGAATGTAGCAGTGGGGAAAACTGTAAAATATTACCATAATAGTGAATGTTATTTGGGGCAATTAGGGTTACAAGCATTGCATCTTAGTCATGGGAATAAATATATAAATTTTCATTAAAGACCGGGTGTTGTTTATTCCCCAAGCTACTTGCAAACGACTAGTTGACGCCGATCGAGGCATGTATAACTATTATTGATTCAATTCGACGAAATCATTGGATTCATTAGCTAGCTTCGCGTTATTATGTATATTTCCGAGAAAAAAAAACACTTGTTTTATTCTCGGATAAAATTACACTGTTGCGTAAAAAGGTGCACATCAAGTTATTCTAGACATCTATTAAGGCAGGTATTCTGTGATCATCAGAAAAAAATGTTTGCCATCTGTGCCATTTTAATTCTGTTCAAGCAGTGACCCAAAATACAATTAATATTCTACTATAGCTGCCGTATGTTGGGTTTGTTACAGAATAGAGATTTATAATTTTTTACCATTATTGCTTCCTGGTTTCAAAGAATATCGTATGACTTTGTCTCCTTCTCCGTAATCAAATGTGTAACAATTCCCGTATGTCTGGTCTTGCATTGGTAATAACAGATCTCTACAAACAATTAAAAAACAAATGTTATTCACAAACAACCATATGGGAGAATTGGCTATTATATGTTAGGCAGTACTCGTTTGATGCAAATCGTCTAAAGAACACGTGGGAGGTCCATGGAAAATACAATCGTAGTTCTGATGATTTTACACCTAATAAGCTGTACTTATTGATAATTACTTATGCAAAGATCGTACAATTTGAAAAAAAAACAGGTTTGTTTTATTGTTATACCGATTTGTGGAATCACAATCAGATGAAGACGACTAGGCAAACATAAAAGGTTTTAGTCTGTCTGGAACTAACATCGATACAGAATATGCATTCCTTGTTATATAGATTTTCAATATAAATCTAACCGTATAATTACTCTCTTAATTTAATACTTAATGTTAGTATATATTTGTCAATGTTGTGCTCGAAATAACCCTCGATGGGTTGTATGGGCATTTGTCACCAGCGTATAAAACAATGAAGCAGAATGACCAATCAGTAGCCAACCATCTGTGAATTTCAAGGCGAAGTTTGGTCTGAAGTTGGTCAAATCTGAAAAAAACGATTGATGACCTTTGTTCACGTGTTTGAGTAACTGATAATGAGAGAATTCACCGAAAAAGTAAAACACCCCACGTTTATTTATATCAGTTAAATATATCAATTATTTTTTACTTGTAATTGTAAAGTGAAAATAACATACCCAATCGTATAGGAAATCTACAACTCACATATCTTGTATTCGTGCCATGTCAACGTATGTTCGTTAAATGAGACGACGCGACGGGGTACAATTGCATAAACCAACTATGTTGTACTTCGTCCGAATTAAAATGTAAATTAAATAAACCCAATTGAGGGGATATGGCGAATATCAATACATCCTCCACAAATGTTAACTTCCATGTCTTTGCGAGATGGATATGTTATGTTTAGTTATTTTAAGACACACATACCACTAATAGTTAATGAAAACGATTTATGGAAGCTATGCGATAATACTCATATAGTAGTCATTCTAAATATAAAATATGATTGATTGTGATATTTCTGCTAATGTGAGATGCATATCCGACATACTCAGTTCAACGGTTCCCTTCTCGACATCTGCCACATTTAAAAGTTTAGGCATGTATTTCATTTAAATGCGTGCGACGTGAAACATGTATTCTCCTTACAATTACGTTGTGAAGGTTTAATAAACGGAATTCCGATCCGTCTACCGGTGTTTTATAAATACAAATGCAAATGACTGCATTAACATGTACATGTACCGGATTTCCGGCCACGCTTAACAATTCACTAGTTCTAGCATATAGAATAATTAGATGCATGAATACGCCATTATTGAATCCTACGTCAGTTTCTAGGTTTGGCTATTGAATGACGTTATTGCCTTACAACAGACTCCAACTATCCTCAGATTACGTGAGTACTGTGTGAAATGCGGTATACATTTTTCGTAATGATAGAAAATTAAGTAAATGTGTTAGATTAGAATTCAATTCTCTCCGATTCACGTGCCTTTTTATAGTATACACGATATGAATCTGTGATGTTTACCTGCATACAACATCATTTGACCAAATCAAAAACGTTTTCTATGTGGAATAGAGTATTTTTTGTCTCGCCAAAACATATGTATGCATTTGCATACATATTAAACGTTTATAATGCACATACACACAATTAACGTTAATGTACCTTTACATATGGTGATATACATAGTCGTGTTTTAGTTCATGTATGGCAATATTATTATTATGATTAAACGAAAGCCAAAGAAAACAATATATGGCTAATACAAAAAGACAGCACTTTGATCATAGGGTGACAACAAACTTTAGTTAAGTTATATGTGTAATATAGCCCGAATGACGTATGCAGCTAAGTTATCCAAAACAGTTTTCGACCAGCAGTGTGTCACAAATATTCATGTTTCTAGTTGTTGCACTACAGGTGAGTATTTTAATTAACCTAGAATACCACATCGTCGCCGATCTTCTCTTGCAAGTTTTTTCTTGGATAGATCGCGCACATGGAACTGACAATCGGGTATATATGCTTGGCATAATGTGTTTCACTCTACTCGACTATGTAGTTTTGTTTCTGGTATGATCCTTGAATCATTAATTGTATATTTACTTAAATACTCATCACAATTTCAAAAAAAACAACAACCTCAAATTCGACATAAGGTTGTGTATGTACCTGTCTGTACAATCCATTTGATTGTAGGAGCATTCCAATATGAGGTCCTGTACTTGATGGCCATAGTCCATAATCTCAGCCTGAGACATACTGCGAATGAGTTGTGACAACTTTAAGTCAGCAGATTCGCCATCCAACTGGCTTAATATATCAGACGTTTTATTCCAGTAGCCCATAAAATCCGTATACACATCACTATCAGTTACCACATCATCGAAAATAGTTGTTAACACGTCTTTGTTTCCTACTCCAAATGAAACACTACTGTTAGCTTCAGGCTCGTATTGGTTACTATCGACGTCAACATAAATAGCGTATGCTGGAGTGTTTGCACTAGACGTTGTACGGACAGGAACTTGTGTACTTCCGGACTCAATGATGCCCATTATACCTGAGTCACAACAATCATTTGCTTCAGGCATGGGCACATAATCTTTCAGGTGACAATCACCGAGTGAATCCCCGTGTTTCACAAACTCCCACGCTACACAGCCGTTGGTGTCGGAACACATTGCACAACAGTCCTCGGGACTGGCTTTGCTTTCTACACTCGCATTAGTCATGTCAAATCCCGTTCTTCTCACATTTAAGTCGATCGAGCAGTGGATACCTTCTGTTGCATTGATCGCAACTACAAGAAAATAGCAACATTGTAAATACATTGCTTACAATCATACTATAAAACAAATCAAACGTATGAAAAGATATTATATTGCGGCATGTACATTTCATTTATTGTATATATTTATCATAGGAGTAAAATATGTATTTTGATATGACCGTACTGAGGACGAAGCGGGTTATATGCATGCACAACCCAACAACAAATGTTGAGAACTCGATAGCTTTAGCTGTATTACGTATTCGCTGTGTAGTAACTGTGATATTTATTATGTTACGTGCTTTATAGATTAGTGAATTAAAATTAGTTTCAGTGGCTACTCATTTCGAAAGACGAACTCACACCATATTAATAACAATTAGGTTGTCATGTTACTACTTTCATGTTCAGGCAATTCATCAATTCATTTAGAATGTTGTTAAGCTTTCTTCGAAAATGTGAATGCATGGAATCACAACTAGCTGTCTGAAGAGGCAGCCGATAGGATCACTGTTTTTTTTTTCAATCCAGCTAGTAAGTGCACTTGTCGATTTATTGATAGCAACTCGTGTATAAAAAGTGAATGTATGCAGGTTTGTGTGTTCGCCATTAATCCTGAAATTCGAAGATATATTTGTTGGTATATGTATACTGTAAATGCCTTAATTATTCACTGGGTTTTAATTTCGTTATTTTCGCTGATAAGTGAAAATCGCTAAATTAAATCTACATGAACATGTACAATAACAATAAAACTCATTGTTTCCTTGACTAATTCGTGAAATTAAAACACAGTGAATATGCTCAAAACAAAAAAAAATAGTGAAATTAAATGTCAGTGAAAATAAATGGTTTTACAGTATATATTTACCGCCCAGTTGGGTATCTACATCTACAGATGATAAAACTATGATAAATGATGTACAAAAGACTGACAATACCAACCTGACTTGTTTAGTTCTCGTGTAACTCCAGAGTAACGGAAGACTTGATACACTTCACTTTCAATCGAACTTTTCAAGGAACAATTTCCCGGTTCATCGTCACCAATTGTATTGAAGGTCCATGCCAGACACTCCGGGGTTTCGGAGCAAAACGCACAACATTCATCGGAACTGTTGCGTTGAGCGCTGCCGTTATGAAAAATCTCAGCACCAATTATAGAGGTGTTTTCTTTAGTATTGCAATTAGTATTTACTTGAACGTGCAGGGTTCCTGAAAAGTTGAATTGAACATAGGTAATCGATTTGAGAAAATCAATAAACGTAGCATAATACGCAATTGCTGTGCAATGATAATACGGCACCTAAGTATAAGTAACTATTGAGTGTTCAAATTACACATGTTTTATCACACAAGAAATGAATGTGGTGTACAAGTCATGTAGTGCAGTTAATTGAATAATAGAAAACAAAATAAAACAAATAACAAAAACAACATGTTAATTGTCACGCTTGTGTAGTTTTTGAACACATTACAGAGTAGAATAACTTGATTCTCATTACGGTAATTATAGTGTTCTGGTACGAACATTTGCACACGTTTTTCATACTCAATAAACTCGATAAATTCCGTTTTCTCAATTAGTTCTTGATGTTTTTTTAGCGTTCTAGCAAACAATTATTCAAATAAATGTACGCTTCTCCAAAGAGTCCCTAAACAAATTTAAAAATAGGTAAGTTTAATGTACCCTAAAACATCACCTTGCACGCGATTTCACATTTGTTCCTGTTGTTAAACAGACGCTGCGGTAATTAACAAAACGTCTACTTCCTACACCCACTGTTTCAAAGATTACACGATGCAAACTAACTCCTCCTAGTGATTTATAAACAACTGTTCTTGCCTAAGATCAGATAACAGCCTGCCTGAATTTTCCCCCCAGGATTGGGTTTAGATCATCAGGTTTTTAGAAAACTTCAACATGGAGAGGGAAATGTGTACAACGTGTTCACATGTACCCAATTATTCCCTCTGTATGATAAATGTGCATATTATACTGGAGACCGCAATTACATTTGACTCTATATGTAATACATTAACGCAGACATAGTTTATCAATCGTCTCACCTGTATCCTGTGAGGACCTTCGTACAATCCCAGAATTGCAGCAATTCGATCTGACCTGAGAAACATTATCTTCGCTCAGCCAACAGTTTCCACTATCGGCAGACGTAGTTTTATCGAACGTCCATGTCACGCAACCTGTGGTACTCTCACATAACTTGCAGCATGCTCCGGAAGAGTCTACCCTTTCTGTGGGTTTTGTTTTCCACTCTGCGCCTCCTCGTCTATCAACATGCATCTCAGTCACACACTGTTGTGCCTCTAAGGCTGCAATCCAATAAATGGCAAAATAAGTGAAATCAATATTACAACTCGTCTTACACACATGCAATTCATTGGCCAAACTAATTATTTTTATGTGTAGCACGCGTCGAGTTTTTGTAGCATTTATACGGCATGGCAGCCGTGAGATGACATTTTGTTTCCACTCTGACAGGAACATTTCCTAGGAGTTAGAATTACACAGTATTTTAAGAGTGAATTAGATGCATGCCCAGAAATTGAACACGTATTTCCCGTCGGTGTTAGTCTACAGCCGTTAAATTAAATCGTTGAAGAAATGCCAATCTTGCAAATCTAAACTTGATATCTAAATATCAGTAGTATTATTATTCTAAGCGTTACTAGGTTTTCACAGCTGAAAATTCTGGCGAATATTTTGTTATGGCAATATATTGATGTCGTGAGATTCGATTGTTTACAACATCGCTCACATTGACTACTGGGCTTTTATTACAAACATATATTTACGACTAAAATTAATCCGTATTCAAGAGCTTGTTCCTCGCTTAGTTCACAACACGAATGTAGTGAAAACATGCAGAACCACTCGGGCATCATGTCTTGAGTCATGAATAAAATATGGGTAGCTCAAAACGACTACAGTTGTATTGGGAATATATAATGATATTACATCATGGCTGTTCCTGCGCGCGGTCGGACGCATACGCGCATTCTCGCAAGCAAATGCGCCTCCGTCGCCCAACCGCTGGTCGCCGAAGCCGCATCTGGCAGATACAAATTAACATTGGCGGATTTAGATGGGGGCCGAGGGGGGCGCGGCTCCCTTATTTTAAACAACCAACAGGGTTTCGCGCCATCTGCGCTCACGAACTTGGCCTTAGGCCAACTTATCGCCCCCTATTCCAGAATCCATAGATCCGCCCCTGATTAATGTAAGTAAATGCGATCAAATAACTCATGTGAATCTAGCAAGGTGAGTTATAACAAAATAACCTGGCAGCCAATAAGTGATCAACTCGTTTGTACTAATGGCTCATATCATTTTATGGTTTTCTAATAATAACAGATTCGACCAAATATGCGTATACGATAAACCAGCATGCTATTCGCAAACTTGAAACCTGTTTCGCATTCCAAAAATAAATATCATTTAATTTACCCGCAGGTTTATTTTCGTCACCATCTGTATATCTGCGTTTCCTTTGGCTGTATTCTATAAAAAAACAAAATGTATTTTTGTATTAAAATCGTTGGTCAAATATACGTGTTGGGGTATGTTGTGTTTTAATTTAACTCTAGAAGTGTTCGTTACAAGCAACATAATGGTATCGGTAGTTATACGGTGTCATATCGCGTATCACCTCCAACTGGTTTGCGCGGAACGTTAACAGAATCTCACTGATGATGCCTTGTTAAATATATTAATGTGTGGGAAATTTCAAAGCACGAATTCCGTGCCGTAATTGGTAGTAATTCGAGGTTGCGATTGTATTCCGAATTAAATTTCAGATCATTTACAGTTCACATGTGACATGAAAGAAAAGGGAGTTCGGAATTATAACTGCTATTCTTTTAGATGAATACGATGTATGATGTTAGTAAGATGAATGTCTACTATCCACATATTTTATATTTTTGCATCTCTACTGTGCGTTATAAATTCCAATTTCGGAGCGAGTTTTTTTAAATACGAATCTGAACTAAAAGAACTAGTAGCGTAGTGGTGATTCCTCTTATCCTAATTTTTGTACGTAGATCAATTGCTTGATTGACTGAAAAATATATTTTGCACAAAATTATGCATTATATCTAATCATATGAATAATGACTTTGCCAGGGCATTATACTTCGCCGATTTTTTCTCCGTTTTCACCTGGACGGTTTCTCGCGTAAAAAATAACTTGATCAAAAATCACCCATGTAATTTAATCTTTACTTCTAATATGAGATAGATACCGCTGTATATCGAGTTTATTTATACCTACCTACACAGTACACATGTCAGTCAAGTCGTATAAACAAAGCATTGTTGAAAACGGATATAATTCTAATTATCCTAATTATCTGTTAGGATATCTACCATATAATAAACAGAAAATGCTTGTAGGTATCTACGTATTCCAATACACCAACGAAGGATGATTGTCACGTGATGTGTTGTTTTACCATCGTAAACAAATTAAAGTTTTCAAATTATGAATATAAGGTTGAAAATTAATGGACGCCATAAATTAAAAGAGTTTAAAACACATTTATCAACGTAAATCCGTTAATTTTGTCTATCAATCATTTTTGTGTCGCAGCCATTACATATACACGCTCACAGCGCCCACATGTCTTACCAGACAAGCGTGGTTAGTTTAATTAGAAGTAATTATACTGTTACAGTATTGTATTGTGTTGGAAGGTGAATATCAAAGGCGATTTATTCCACACCAATGCTAAAGTATGCCAAATTGATGCACTGTAACAGGTGTGTAATTAGAGATTCGCCTGTGTATAGACATATATACATATCTTTCCCCATTACAGTAGAAAAGATATTCCATGGGGGAATTTATATCACTGTGGACACAATTCAATTGTCCCTCACCTGTTCCTTCCTTCACACCGGTGGCTCGCAATAAATCTTGTAATACATGCCCGTAATCGGAACTTTGCAATAGCTGACTCAGTCGTAGTTTATTATTGTTACACACAGTCACGGCGGGGAACTGCAATGATCCATTCCTCTCCACAATAGATTTAATCCGTACGGGGTACTCGAAGTAATGTCGCAGTAGTTCCGTCATGTGCGTGATGTATCCAGAGAGAACAATGATCACAACAAGCGTCCATATGCTCCTCCGATGCACCGTCTTGGAGGCCGCTATCCTCGGTATTCCGTGACTTGACGTCCCCAACGCAAAACTTCGCGTTATGTTACCGATACTTTTCCGCTTCTCCTTAAGCAAACGTTTAGATCTTTTGTCGCTGCTTCGCCTAGGTTGTTGATTTAATGGCAGTTTGGCCTCTTCCAGCTCTATCTGTTCACTCATCATATTTGTATCCTATCTTCTGCTACAAGGAGCCCATGCAGCTCGCATTATGAGTTCGCCCATGGAGTCAAACCCGCGATCAGTAGCGTACGTTCTGCCAAAAGATACCGACTGCTACTATCGTAACGAGATGCTTGTTTTTTTTTACGGTGGGCGGTTGTTCGGACTGAAATATAATGAAAGATACACGTAATGCAATACTATTCAGATTAGCATATACATTCCCTACGGTCGCCTGGCAGATTCCGGTGATCTCGGGAGAGACAGCTACGCTGAATACTAATGAAGTGGCAACAACACCTGATACATAAACTGGTCTTGCATATGGCAACGCACTTACACATCTAGAAGAGTCTGTGTTATTTTTATGAGACGTTTTGCGTTATTATGTAATCAATTACAAATTGAAATTGAAAGCACGTCGTGAACACATGTAGTAAATAGTGTAGGGGATAATGGACACTCACGGAGCGGTTACAGTCAGCATCTAACGCTGTCAAATGTATAATGCCGAGCCGTGAACCAAAACGAAATACATCCTTTTAACATATTAAAATTGTTTTGTTAGAAATGTGTGAATAATTATTTTTACTACATGTGAGTTTCTGATAATAGCTTTAGTTTGAACTATACTAACTCCAGGATTGTTATGAATTACGTTCTCTGTTTTTGTTACAGCCATTAGCTTACCTCATAAAATTAGTTTTTATTAAGAAAACTAATTCCAATATAAAAAAAAGTGTTTATTCACAACAGAATAAAACATGCTGTCGTCCATTATGAAATGAACTCCTATTTGAAAACACAACAGGTTTTAGAATTCTGCGTGTGTTTTTTCTATCTATGTACCTGAGAATCATTAGCAAAGTATAAGGGACAGTGGGCTGGTTGCTTATTTGTCTCGAATTAAAAAAAGCGTTAAAATCGATATTAAATGTATCGTGTACCGGCACGTAAGCAGCCGCAGCATGTGTGTTCAAATGATAAATTATGGGTTCTTTTACGTGCTGGCTGACACTGGTTAAAAATAGATCAATGTACAAGTCTCTCTACACAGTCTCAAATGAAGGGCTGTTATAAATCATGTTTATCGTCCCAAATGTACTAAATGTTTAACGAGTAAATAGTATGAGATGGGTACGTGGCGATAGACGGATAACGCGTTGTTTACTCGCGAACTCAGCAGGTCGTCTGAATGGTTAACGTTCAACTCGGGGATTGGAGTATCCTTCTCCGCTCTAGAAGGACACATCCCGTCAACATGCCCGGCGAAGGTAAACGTACAGTTGTTGCACGAATGCAAAGGCCGATTGTGTATTTATTGATTCCGAAAACAAACTTCTGTGTAAATCGCCTGAAATTGGGTGCTCTGTGTTATACACAATGTACATTCGCATCATTAGGTGAAATTAAATTATACTGTCGCAGCTACTACTCACGTGCAAGGTTCTCGTTGACATTGTCTCGCCCACGGTATCAAAGTATATTAGACATTCATATCATTATGTCTGGTGCATGGGTTCAATTAGTGATATTATTTGTGCATATTAAATAAAATAAACCATCTACTAACCTACTTGGTAGCATCAACAGCGAACAGCGATATGTGCAATAGGACATGGCAGGAGAAGATCGGCGTTTACACGATGACTTCTATAATTGAAGAACGCGTTGTACCGTATATAGTAGACAATAAAACCAAACACGATGTCGCCCCCAGGCTAGTAATCGTCAGCATCACATACACACACATACAATATATATAATTGCAGGGACTGCGAATTATGAAGATGCTCTAAACGTGCTGTCATTGTAAATTTGCCAATCACGTGATCACTACCGCCGGTAATAACGGTTCTTTCCCTGTCAGACCGCCTCTCTGACGTCAAATATTCATGATATTCGTTCCACTGAAAGAGCGGTATGGTATTTGAATGTATGAATTATGTAAGGAATTGAAGGTCTGCAATATAAAGAAGCTTAAATCAGAAGGATATATTTCAACATATATAGTAAGCCTGTTGATAGACTCAGGTAACATTAAATTTGCATTTGATGGAAACCGACAGATTATACCTGGATATGACGAACACCGTTGGCGCAAGATACTAGTAACGCCCTGAATGACTCGAAGGCTGTTTCTTATTACTAATACTACACACATGGACAGCCTGAAGACATAAGTCAATACGGGTTTCCAGTCGGGGTGTTAGAGGGAGGAGAGTAAACATCGCACGAGTGATCCGACAACCAAATTGATCAATGCCGTGTAGTATTAGTTTCGAGCCTTGGCCAAAAACAAAATAAAGTAAAAAATACTAACACCGACGCGTTCTGTTTTATTAACATAAATGATGTTCATTTATTAACGATGCCGTCAATTTACCTTCTTGCAATTTTTACTAATGTTGCGGAAAATGCAATGCAACCCTTCAGAAATCGGCAATATACATGGGTAAAACAAATGTACGTTACAAGGACAAGTTGAGGTTGGGAGAATTAGAAATGATGCATCGCGTAATATAATTTAATTGCCAGTCATAAAACATTCAATATACTTGTATTGCCTAATCATATTTCCGGGATTATACATGTATGGGGAATTTCGACTTTTATTACACTGCCTCATTACAACAGGACCACCGTGACATTTGGAATAAAATATGCAAGTACATTTTCATCACCGTTTGATTCAGGACTGTAGATGTCCATATCCGAGTAACGCATACACAACGACGCGCCACTTGTTAGAATTCATGCAACGTAATCACCCAATGATAGGATCGAGCTCTCAGTGCATGGAACTTGATTTTCTAGCTTCCCACCGAAAAATGCTTGAACATATTTTGGATGTGTTAAAAGCAAATTATATAGTTGTTGTTTCCATATGATGGACATGTGACGATTCACGATGCAACGCACGTGCCGTGCGGGTTGTGCTACTTCCGTTGCCTAACTAAGACCGGGTAATATAAAACCACTGAGACTACATGTATTAAACAACGGTACTGTGACTTCATCTAAGTAACTCGTAAACATTGTTAAATATACATTAGATAGTCAACTGACAGCATAATCTTAGCTTTATGAATCGTTGAATGACCTTCGTTATGATTCCCCAGGCAGCAATCGTCTGTCGTAGTCCACAATGTCCACAAAAGTTACGAAACCATTGACGTCATCACAATTAAAAAATGACGTCATAGCATAGGTTAACACGTTACTAGAGTAAGCATATATTCATATATTTCAATGTATCATTGGAGTGACGTCATAGCATAGGTTAAAACGTCACTAGAGTAAGCATATATTCATATATTTCAATGTATCGTTTGAGTGACGTCATGGCATAGGTTAAAACGTCACTAGAGTAAGCATATATTCATATATTCCAACGTATTGTTTTAGTGTGTGTGCCTGTATAAGAAAAAGGCTAGACATTTCCGGGAAAAAAAACTTTCATTTTCGTAGATTAGATTCGCTCTATGCATTTGATGCGTGCAATGCATTTTGAAGAAGTAATTTGACGAGGTAACTAATTTTACATCTCATGTCAAGCGTTCATAAAAATAACACTTAGGCTAATTAAATATACAGCCCCCTATTCCACGTATTACCACTATCTTAGTTCTGCTACACGACGACTTTTACTGAATAATCGACTGCCTTTTATAATCAATTAATCAAAGGATAGGAATATTACGTAAACACTATTATTATACATCTGTCACCGTAACGCCCTACGTTACAGCGTGGCGTTACATTTTGCGCTATCTTACGGGGTATTTTCATCCTACCATATATGGAAATGCGAATTCCAAATATGGAATGATTACTCGCGTAATCGTCCTCCAGTAAAAAACAAACATGGCTGCCGCTAAGTTTGACCTGACTCCACACAAAGAAGTTCGCCTATTCTGTTCTAAACTTTTTGGATTTCGGCAATACCATGATGTATCCTTGGAAGGAAAAGATGGAAAATAATAATGTTATTACGAGGATACCTCAAAGTATGCACTCAGACTGTACGCCGTCGCATTGATACTCCCGCTCTACTGTCTTCGTGCATACTTACCTCGTAATAACCTCATGTTATCTATTTTTAATATACAATTGATATAATATATACTAGTGTCCATATTTGGACCCATGTGGAAATTGACGCGGTGCAATGACTATGAAGATTTAATTATATCAAACAAGATAACCGTGTGACTACCTAAGTTTCCAAGGTTATTGGATTGCTTTCTTTTAACTGCCAATATAATAATAGTAAGAAGAAGAAAGAATAACTCAAAAAATCACGATTAATTGAATTGATTAATTGAATGAAACGGAGAATATACATATAATAATGATAAATTGTTGGTCACCATTACTATAGGTTTACCTATACTAGCAACGTATACGTATTATGACAGTTTCGACTATGTTAAAGTACTGTTAGCTTGGCGGGTTATATGACTGCAAATCTCATGAACATGACAGAAGCAAGTATACTTTTACTTCAATCAGTGTTTCACAATTTGTTTTCAGATGTTATGCTGTTTTTTTTATCAAATATAAATGCAGACAATATAGCTCCGGCTTTGAAAATGTTAGTCATCATCTGGATCGTGCATTGAATGTGTATTCTAAGTGAATTCTATTGCAATGAAATATTTTTTATTGTACTGTTGTTCGCACGAGTGTGTATCGCATAATCCACGAAGCGAACAATATTATTAACATATATCTGTCTTGTCTATACTAGAAATACATACAATTAATACAGACTGGTTTAATTGTTAACATAACTATCAATTATCGGGATTCGTGTTGTTGCTTCTTTTAAACCCTCAAGATGTATTTGGTATTGGTTATTTTTAATACATCTTTCCTGATAATTTAAGATTGTTGTGTTTATTTTGTGTCACAGTAACCAAACAAGCAATGAGATTATGACGATGGTCAACCGGGAATTGAATCCATGTAATTAAAACTGTATAATACTTCACTGTACA